AAAACAATGAGAACTAAATATAAATGAACACTTAAATCAGTATTACATACCTTTGTTGAAGACACTTGTTGGCTTATGGAAGACAGGGAGGAGGAGAGAAGGAAGACTGATTGTTGTTTGGAAGGGAAATGCTTCTCCATAATGACTTCAGGTATCAAAACCCTGTGTGGGGTTACTTCCCTCCCTGCATGCCTGCTACACTCCCTGCCTCTCTTCCACACTCCCTGCATGCCTGCTACACTCCCTGCCTTTCTTCCACACTCCCTGCATGCCTGTTACACTCCCTGCCTTCCTTCCACACTCCGTTTCCCTGCTACACTCCATGCCTGCCCTTAATCAATAACCACGAAAAACAGTGGAAATGTTTGGATGAATGAACAGAAGATTTATCACTCGCCCAGAGAGACAGCCAGACTGATGCGTCCCATGCGGCCGATAAGCGAAATAATGGCCGATAACTGGAAGCCGAAAAACCAGCTGATAACCGAGGGTCCACTGTACAGCCATAAAAATTATACAAAAATGTACCGCTAAAGAGCAGCTAATGGCTTAGAAGTGAACTCCATTATTTATGGATCCAATTTCTTTCAATTTTGGTGTACGTTAAGAAGCATCTTTCCATCATACATTGCCCAAGTTTAAATAAGATAGTCCAACAAACAAATGAGATCCAATTCTCTAGATCAAGAGCAAGAGCCCCTCACTTGCGTCAAGGAACCTCCCTTGAGGCCCGCCCGCATCTGGAAATTTTTCTTGTGTATAGAAGCAAAAAACCGAAAGAGTGACTGCTCGTATCTGGAAAGACTCGCACGTGGATGCGCTCATGAGTAGAGGTTCCACCGTATGTGGATTAGAATTGAGGTGGGCTGCAGGAAATGGGGCTGTATAGCCCTTGTGGCTTAGCGCTTCTTTTTGATTATAATAATAATGCAGGAAATGGGGTTTAGTGTGTAATATATAGTAAATCAGCCGATATTAATCTCAAAATTTAGTGATCTAATCTTCAGTTTCGTAGCATTATTATGCATCAATGGCCCTGGGTAAGATATGGTACAATGTACAGTGGTACCCAAGTTTTGTACAGCTCCCAACTCGAACAATTATGTAAGTGTATTATTGTAAGTGTTTTTGTAAGTGTATTTTTGGGTGTCTGAAATGGACTAATCTGATTTACATTATTCGTTATGGGAACAAATTCGTTAGGTAACGGCACTCGAACAGCCTTGTGGAAAGAATTATGGTGAAACTCTGGGTACCACTGTACACACCACACGTACACACCACACGTACACACCACACGTACACACCACACGTAGGCACCACACGCACGCACCACACGCACGCACCACACGCACGCACCACACGCACGCACCGCACGCACCGCACGACGCCCCCGCCGCCCACCACACACACAAACCACACACCACCACACACAACCACCACAACACACACCACACACACCCACACATCACACCACACACACACACCACCACACACACACCCACACACACACACCCCACACCACACCACACACACACACCCACACACACCACACACACACACACCCACACACAAAACCACACACACACACACCACCCCACACACACAAACCACACCACACACACCACACACACACCCACACACAAACCACACCCCAAAACCACACACACACCACCACAAACACCCCCACACACCCCACCACACCCCAACACACACACAACACACACACCACACACACACCACACACACACCACACACACACCACACACACACCACTCACACACCCACTCACCACCACACCACACCACCCACACACACCCCACACACACACCCCTCACCCCACACACCACCACACACACACCACACACACACCACACCACACACACACCACACACACACACACACCCCACACACCACACACAAACACACCACACCACAAAAACACCAACACACAACACCCAAAACACCCCACACCCCACACCAAACCCCACACACACACACCACACACACACACACCACACCAACAACACCCACACACAAACACCCCCACAAAAACCAACCCAACCCCACAACACACCACACACACACACCACAAAACACAACACCAACCACACACACAAACACACACACCAACACACCACCCCCAAAACACACACACAAACCCAAAACAAAACAAACACACAACCACAAAAACACACAAACCCCACACAACACCACACACACCAACACACACCCCAAAAACACACAAACACACACAACACACACCAAAAACAAACACACCACCACAAACACACACCACCACACAAACACACACCACCCACAACCCACAACCCCCACCCACACACAACCAACCAAACACCCCACCAACACACACACCACAACACAACCACACACACCACCCCACCCCCCACACCCAAAACACCCCACACACACACCAACACCCCAAAAACCCAACACACCACCACCACACCACACACACCACACACACACACCCACACCACACACCACACCCACCACACACCCACCACACCACCCAACACACACCAACCCACACACACCAACACCCCCCCCACCACCCACACACACCCACAACACCACAACCCACACCACCACACCCCAACCACCACCACACCCACACACACCACAACAACCCCAACCCCCCAACACAAAAACCACACACACACACACCACCCCCCACACACAACACACACACACCACACACACCCACACCCCACCAACACACACACACACCACACCAACACCAACACCAACAACACACACCACAAAACACACACACACACACACACACCAACCCACACACACACACAACACACCCACACAAAACCCCACCACCACAACCCCACACACACACAACAACCAACAAAACCCACACCCACCACACAACACCCCAAACCCCAAACACAACACCACACACACAAACCACACAAAACAACCAACAAACCACCCACCACACACAACCACACACCAAACCCACACACACCACACAACACCACACAACCCAACACACCCCCAAAACAAACCACAAACCCCAACCACACCACACACACACACACCACAACACAAACACCAAAAAAAACACAACACACACAACCACACACACACACCACAACAACCCCAAACAACACACCACCACAAAAACACACACAACCCCCACAACCACACACACACACCACACACCACACCCCACAACACACACACACACCACACACAAAACACACACACACAACACACAACAAACAAAACACCCACACACCCCAAACACCACAACACCACACACACCAAACACCACACAACCACACCACACACACACAACCACACACACACCACCACCAAAACCACACACCAACCCACACCCACACCCACACCCACACACACCCCCAAAACCACACACACACACAAAACACACAACACCAACCCCACAACAAAACACCCCACACACACACCAAACCACACACCCACACCCCCCACCACACCAACACCACCAACACCCACCACACACACCACACACACACCCACACAAAACACCACACACCCCCACACACCAAACACAACCACACAACACCCACACCCCACACCACACACACACACCACACACCACCACACACACACCACACACACACAAACACACACACACACCACAAAACACACCACACACACACACCACACACACACCAAAACACACACCACCACACACACCCCCACACACCACCACAAAACACCACACACACACCCAACCACCAACACACACACCACACACACACACACACACAACAACACCACACAAACCACACACACACACACACACCCCACACACACACACCACACACACACCACACACACACACCACAACCCACACACACCACCACACCACACACACCACACAACACCCCACACACACACCACAACACACACCCCACACACCACCACACACACACACCACAACACACACCACCACCCACACACACACACCACACACACCCCCACCACACACCACAAAACACACCCCCACACACACCACACACCCACCCACACACCCCACACCACACACACACCACACCACACACACACCCCACACACACCCACACACACCACACACACCCACACAACACACACCACACCACACACACCACACACACCCCACACACACCCCCACACACCACACAAAACCCCCCACACCCCACACACACCACACAACACACCACACACACCACCACACACACCACACACACCAACACACCACACACCCACACACACCACACACACCCCACCCCACACACACCACACACCACAACACACACACACCACACACCACACACACAACACACACACACACACACACACACACACACACACCACACACACACCACACACACACACACACACACACTGTGCATGGATCTTATTTAACACTTTTACCGGCCATTGAGTAGTCATAAGATTGCAGACATGCAACACATACCGTGGATCCAGACATTGTCTTGATATTGTTTTTGGTATATATGGGAGAATTGACTTCCAGCAAGCATGCGTGAGTGTGTTAGGAGTGAATGGAGACGAATGGTATTTGGGACCTGACGAGCTGTTGGAGTGTGAACAGGGTAATATTTAATGAAGGGATTCAGGAAAACAGGTTATTTTTATATTGCCGGACTTGAGTATTGCACTTTAAAGGAGGGGTTAGGATATTGACAGTTTGGAGGGATATGTTGTATATCTTTATACGTATATGCTTCTAAACTGTTGTGTTCTGGGCACCTCTGCAAATGAGACAAACTAGCCAGGTTGCAGGAATGACTGTCAAAATCTTTAATCAGTGATTATGTATGAGTGAGGTGAAAGTGTTGAATGATGATGGAAGTATTTTCTTTTTGGGGATTTTCTTTCTTTTTGGGTCACTCTGCCTCGGTGGGAGACGGCCGACTTGTTGGGGAAAAAAAAATGTTTTGGGTAAATTAATGGGAATTGCATTTCTTCATCAGGTTAAACATTTTGGGGCCAAAGGACGTGGAGTAGTTACTACAAGAACGTTTTCCAAAGGAGAGTTTGTTGTAGAGTACATAGGAGATCTGATTGATGTGAGAGAAGCCAAAGAAAGGGAGAAGATTTATTCTCAAGATTCATCAAAGGGTTGCTACAACTACTACTTTACTTTCCAAAACCAGCAATACTGGTAAGTGTGTAGGTTTTAATAAATAGTTTAGAAAGCCAAGAAAATAAATGAGAGACTTGTGCAACATTTGGGTATCTTTATTCTGGAAACATTTTGCCAGCCAGTGGCTTCTTCAGTCCAATGCAGAGTAAGCTGAAAAATAGAGATTAGGTAATCACACTAAATACATCGACTCCAGGCTGAGGGACTGATTCCCTCGCTCATTTTTCACCTTTCTCTGCATTGGACTGAAGCCACTGGCTGGCAAAACATATCCAGAATGAAGATACCCAAATGTTGCACAAGTGTCATTTATCTTGTGTGTAGGTGTCCTGATCCTTCATCTCCTTTTCATTTTTCTCCTTGTGAGTATTATTTGAATGTTGTTTTTTTCTTTTCCATCTGGTTCTGTTTAAAAACCAAGATGCTGAATGAAATTACAAGTCAGAATGCTTTCTGCAGCAAATGCATTGTTGTAAAGGAGTCTTCAGTTAGTAAAGTATTGTTTGAAGATGCTTGTTATTTCTGATATTTCCAGTATTGCAGACAGGCAGATGCACATTTGAAAAGTTTATATATTCACTTTCTTTTTCAGTGCTATTTAATGAGCTTTATTGTGTTATTATGATTTAAAATTTCATTGATTAACTTGGAATTAAGCAGGTGTGAAGTTAGAGGCCAGGGAGCAGTTTTTGTAGCAATGATTTTGCTCACTCAGCGCCTACATTAGGCCAGTTCCATTACTCAATCGATAAAATGGAAGTCAAACTAGTATTTCATTAGTATAACAAACTGCTGAGCACAAGAAACTTCCCTCACAACTATGAAGTTCCCAGAAGTTTGTAATTTGGCCAAAATTCAACAAATTCTAATTTAATAATTGCAAATAAATGCTGTATACATTTTAGCCACTAAGGAACCTTTTCTCTCTACATTAATCACATCTCCAGGCCTCTCCAATATAACACTTAACCACCCTGTTTCTTGGTTAATAAAATATAACCAAGAATAATTGGTCATTGTTTAGGCCATCCAAGTAATTGAAACAGACTGGGTCTACCATTCCTCAGGAAAATTGCTAAAATCTACCATTTTTGCTTTCTAGGCATATTTTTAGTCTGAAATTATCCCAGATCACTACCATTTCACTAGTATATCTTCCATCCTGTATGTGTAGTTCCTTTATATAAAGGGAAGGGGGACAAAAGAGATTGTAAAAATTATAGGGGAATAAGTTTATTGAGTATACCAGGAAAAATGTATGGTAGGGTTATTATTGAACGAATTAGAGGTAAGGCAGAGAGCAGGATTGCAGATGAGCAAGGGAGGCTTTAGAGTGGATAGGGGATGTGTAGATCAAGTGTTTACATTGAAGCATAAACAGTGGATCCCCGGATTACGTAATTAACCCTTTGACTGTTTCGGTCGTATATATACGTCATACGAAATACCATGTTTGAAGTATCTATATGCATAAATTCTAGTGGCTTCAAATCAAGCGGGAGAGGGCTGGTAGGCCTACATGAGAGAGTATGGGTCCGAGTGGTGGGTGTGCACCCTGTGAAAAAAATCTGGGACTCAGCAGTGCATTGTGGGAATGCCATCTTGGTAGTCCATTTTCACCATGCCTCGCAGTAAGAAGTTCCTCACTCCTCGGCGGATTGGAGGTCTTTTGTTCCCAAGTGATAGCTCTAACAGCGATGAAAGTGTCAGTGAAAGTGAATTCCCTAGTTTTCAAGTGGGTGTGACCGAAGAGAGTGCCCAGGATAACGTAATTAGTGATGAAAACCCAGATGACCCACAACCTTCCACCTCTGGTGCTGGGCCGGCTCGTTCATCTTCACCTGTACCAGGACGAAAGAGGAAACTATTTGCCCGTGTACGAGACTCAGAAGTGAGCAGTGTAAGTGATAGTGATTTCAAAGTTATTGAAAGCAGTTCTAGTTGCGACAGTGAGGGTGAATATTCCCCAGTGAAGCGGCAGTATATACGACATCGCTCGCGGTCTGGTAGTGTGCCATATGCTATTCCAAGAGGAAGGAGTAAATCTCAGAGCACATCCCATGGCCCTACACCACTACCTGATAGTGAAGATGACAATATTGTTACGATGGGTATGAATGATGAGAGTGAGGCAGCAGGCGATGGTGGTGATAGTGATGGTAGCATTAGTCATGTGGCACCACCAGCGGGCCACGCTACTACCGACGCTGCTGACTCTGCACAACTACAACCAGCCTCACCCAACCCCACACTCCCACAACAACCACAACCATGTTTCAATATCCAGAACCCACCGACTGACCGCATCTGGGATTGGCAGCAAGGTGACGAGTTTGTTCCCAGTCCCCATGACTTTGGAAACACAAAGTGGAATACGGCCATCATGTACACTTGGGAACAATGCCACTGAACTGGAATGCTTTCAATTGTTCTTCGATGATCCCCTGATGGACATTATTGCCAGGGAAAGCAATACATACTTTGAGTACACCATGGCAAACACTTTTCATTCAAGATCATGCCTGCACCAGTGGAAGGACACAACTATGGCAGAGATGTATCTGCTCTTTGCCACAATAATGCTTATGCCATATGTGTATAAGCACAGTGTCAACACATACTGGTCGACAGACTGCCTGATTTTAACCCCAGCTTTCAGTGACATTATACCAGTAAATAGATTTGTGTTACTGTTACATATGTTACACTTTTCAGACAAAACCAGGCCTGACAGAAGCAACAGGTTATATAAGATCAGAAATGTGTTTATGTACCTGAAACAAAAGTGCTGTATGTATTTTTATCCCTTTAGGAAGCTTGTTATTGATGAGTCTTTGATTTTGTTCAAAGGAAGACTCTCATTCAAGCAGTACATACCAAGCAAGAAGAAACTCTTTGGTATAAAGTTATTTGTTCTGTGTGATTGCAAAACTGGTCCAGTTTTGGATGTAATTGTGTACACTGGCGGTAAAACATTGCAAGATACCAGGAAGTTACTGGGTATCTCGGGTGATGTGGTTAGAACAATGATAGAACCATATCTTGGTAAGGGGCATATTTATATACTGACAACTGGTACACAAGCCCTTTACTCAGTGATTTCTTGCGAGTGAACATGACAGATGTGTGTGGCACAGTGCATGGAAATCGTAAGCATATGCCTAGGTTTGACGCTGGAAGTCATAGAGGTGAGGTGCAGGTGTTTGCTGCCAATGACATAATGACATTTTGGTGGCATGACAAACGTGATGGCACACTGCTGACATCAGTTCACCGACATGAAATGGTAGACACTGGCAAGCAGAATAGAGAGACCAATGAACCCATCGTAAAACCTGCAGCTGTGATGGATTACAACCTCAATATGCGCTTAGTGAACAAATGTGACATGCAGATTGGGTTTGCAGACTGTGTTCGCAAGAGTTATAAGTGGTACATAAAACTGTTTTTCCATCTTCTTGACATTTCCATGCTGAATGCTTATAATATGTACAAGTTGAAGACCAACAACAAACCCAAATACGGTGAATTTTGTTTGTCAGTCATCAGACAAATAATATTCAAGTACCAAGGAACAACACTTGCAATAGACCAGCGCCCACGAAATTATCAACACACGTCCTCTCGTCTGAGGCTTGGTGATCACTACCCCATACCACTGCCTGCTACTGCTCTCAGAAAAATGCTCAGAAGAGGTGTTTTGTCTGTGGACATGCCACAAAACGCCCACAAAAATGCAGACACTCATTTTATGTGTGAGGAGTGTAAAACACCATTGTGCTTATACCCGTGTTTCAAAGAATTCCACAAGCTACAGCAGTTCTAGAAAAGTGTCCAGTGATTGTACGTATGTATATACACCTACCATCTGACTTACGACCTGCTCGACATACGTCCACTCGAGTTACGACCGTGCATCTGGCAGCTGGGCTGGGTTGGCTGATGCACACCGCTGTACAATATTTGACAATACTCGCGGCATCATGCAGGCAGCATCAGTTTAAGTAACCCTGCCCTATCAGCAGCATCATACTGTATTAACTGTACTGACTGGACAGTAAATTTCACCATGGCCCCTAAGATGAAGTCTGAATCTTGCACTGGAGATCGTGGCAAGAAAGGCTCTTACTCTCGAACTCTCTATTTGTTTTCACTGTCGCACATAAACCTGTCTGTATCTGTTTGCTGTATATCTGTGTCTGTCTGTATCTCTGTGTGTGTTTGTCTACCAGTCTGTCTTAATGTCTACCTGTGTCTGTCTTTGTCTACCTCTGTGTCTCTTTCTGTCTGCTTATCTGTTTCAGAGCCACTCATTAAGAGTGTAATTGGTCTTGACGCCATATTAATAATGATAATAATAATCACTGAGGCGCATTAAATGTGTATAAAACGTTAATATAGACATTTTGCTTAATCCATCTACGATTTTTTTTTTTTTCAAAATTATGTAATAAACATACTACATAACATATAAACATATAAATTAACAAATATGAGATGTTTTTCTGGTCAGCTTGACAGAGTGAACAAAAACCATTCGTGTCCAGGCTGGTAACAACAACAACGTTTGTTTGTTTACATAACTTGCCAACCTACCCCCTCATTCTTTCTCTCATTTATTCAATTAATCTTGTTTACTCACCTCTCACTCTACATTACGACTACAGATATTTTAAGGCAAGTAATGAGTGGACATGATTATTATATTATAGCTTAATAATAATAATATTAATTTTTTTTTTTTTCAACAAGTCGGCCGTCTCCCACCGAGGCAGGGTGACCCAGAAAAGAAAGAAAATCCCCAAAAAGAAAATACTTCCATCATCATTCAACACTTTCACCTCACTCACACATTATCACTGTTTCTGCAGAGGTGCTCAGAATACAACAATTTAGAAGCATACACATATAAAGATACACAACATATACCTCCAAACTGCCAATATCCCAAACCCCTCCTTTAAAGTGCAGGCATTGTACTTCCCATTTCCAGGACTCAAGTCCGACTATATGAAAAT